CAATCCATCTCCTCTTTCGAGTGGTGCTTCCAAAAACTGAACTCGACCACTTCGTGGATACTGATCGAGTTGAGGTTTCCATGCATTGACCTCTGAAAATCGATAAATTTCTCCTTTCATATCTTGTCCTTTGCATGTTTTAAAGGTGTACGGATAGAGATCAAGATAATGTGAAGGAGATGCCAATAGGAAGGTCTTTTTTCCACGAATTTGTAACATGAGATTGTGAGCACAGTCAAAATGAAGCCATGTTTTTTGTTGATCATGACCAAGCCATATTCCTAAACTGGATAATTCTTCGTGATGAGTCAATTCGTTCATGATGAATTGAGTAAAATCTTGACAATCGTTTTGTAATTGTTCCAATTCTGATTTTGCTGTGTCTGAAGCAAGATCGCCTTGTAATGGCTCGTACGGTTGATTGTGTATTATTGGTAATGTCTTTGAATGGAGAAATTCTTGATCATCATTTAGTTCCTCATCACTCTTTTTTGATGAAATTAAGTTTGATCCCGATAAATAATATCTTGTGGAGTGATTGTTGGTGCGTTGTAATTTTTCAATTTTGTGTAATAATTGGGGAATGGTCATGGTTTTCAGAGTTCCAGCACCTGGGATGTGAACTTGTTCTGTAGTTTTTGTAATTTGAAATGGGATGTGGGAGTATGATTGTTGTAGCTCGTTCACAGTCCAACTCATGCACTTCATTGAATGGCCAAGGCCTTCAATAACGATCGGAGTGTCCTTTGCCAATAAATCGGAGAGTATTGTTGATTGTGAATTTTGGAAATCAGAACTTTTTACCATGATCTCTGAAAATGTCAATCTTTGAACTTGTTGCATTTTTTTGTTTTGTCTGACTGTGTTCTCTCATCCTCTTGTCGACAAAATGGTTATCATTGAAGAAGAGCTCAATAATAATAGAATAGATAAGTGGTTATTTATAATGGATGAGATTAGGATGGAATGATGATGGCTTGTTCAACTGCATGCTTATTTCTTCTTGTCCTTTTTCTTTTCTTTCTTTTCCTTCTTCTTCTCCGACTTTTCTTCCTTCTTGTGTTCCTCTTCTTTCTTAACCTCTTCCTTCTTTTCCTTCTTTTCCTTCTTCTCCTTCTTCTTTTCCTTCTTGGACTTCTTTTCTTCGGTCTTGTCATCACCATTTTCGGTGGCTTCAGACTTTTCAACCTTTTCTTCCTTCTTTTCTTTCTTTTCCTTCTTCTTTTCCTTCTTTTCCTTCTTCTTGTCTTCAACAACTGGTTGAGCTACTTGTTCATCTTCCATAACATCTGCATTCTTTTCCTTCTTTTCCTTCTTCTTGTCCTTCTTCTTTTCCTTCTTGGACTTCTTTTCTTCTTCGACAGGACCTTCTTGCACGGTGTCTCTCTTTCTCTTTTCAGCTGGCTTTTTATCTTGTTTCTTTTCGTCCTTCTTTTCGTCTTTCTTGGCTTGCTTGATAGCATCTCTCATGAGTTCAATATTCTTCTTGAGCTTGACAGAGATTTTAGCATTACCTGAAGTGGCCTTCTTTTCGTAGAATTCTAATCGTTCTGTAATTTGATCTCTTAACATTTCACCAAATTTGGATGTTGGGAAATCTTGGAAAGCATCAATACGAGCAGCCATGGCACACTTGTTAGCCAAATATCTGGAAATTTTACCCTTATTTTGCTTGGAAGCCTTTGAAACAAAACTAGAGTGATAGAGGAGACCATATTTTGGTGTCTTTCCTCGTGTCTTCAAAGCTCTAAACAAGGCCTTTTCAGCACCCAAAATTTGAACTGTGGAAGCAGGACATTTTGACAAGTTCAACAAACTACCAGCCTTAGAAATGAGACGAGCACCAACAGATTCACCCAAAATACATGTCAAGTTTGGAGCAACGTCGTGCATCTTGGTTTCCAAATATTCAAATAATTCGGATCTATATTCAGTCAAATCGACCACCTTCTTGGCAAAAAGCTCCATATTCATCATGTCAAATTCAGAAGCATCTTGTCCCATGGATGAACGAGCAGCTCTAACGATTTGTTCAGTCACTTCCTCATCCTTTGTAATTTCAGTAAGTTGGTGAATTAATTCGTCATACTTTTCGCTATCCTTAAAGAGATTTGAACGATTCTTAATGGCAAGTGCACACTTGGCATATGTGTCATTCTTCTTTACAAGTTTAACAAGTTCTGGGAAGTGATATCCATACCATTCCTTCAATCTCATGGAGAATGTATTCAAATCCTTATCTAATTGATCAAGCATTGAGATTGATTGTATAATGTTATTATCAGACTTATTCACGTTGAATTTAACCTTGGCTCTGCTGTATGCGTGACCCAAACCGAGTTGTGCCTTTTCCAAATCTCCCTTCTTCAAACTATCAATAAATTTGTGAATGTGCAAACGAATACCACGACACAATCCCAAAACTGAGTCGTCAGTGAAACAGGTAATCTTCTTTGCAAAGTGTTCTTGAATGGCACCTCCAAGTTTGTTTTCCAAAACACCCAACTTGGTGTCATCCTTTGTCTTCAAATTAGCCTCCAAAAAGTTTTGTAAAAACTCTGTAAGGATACCTTCAGAGATGGCGTTCATGTTTTCAAGACCATGCTCTGGAGTATCAAAAGGTTGGAAAGCAACAAATTTTACCATATCTTTGAAACGACTGTACTCTCCGATTTGTTTTTCAATTTTTGAGAGGGCCACTTCATCGACCTTCTTCTTTTCAAAGAGGGCAAACCCTAAAGCGCTTTCATAGAGTATATAGGAAGGCATCTTTTGTTATCTGAATTGTTGATGATGATGATGTTATGATTCAAAAAGTCATGATGATATGAACGAACGGAACGATGATGAAATATCCAGTTAAACAATATCCCAACAACAACAACAAGTATCAATAAAACCGTTACATATAAAACATTCAACATCGATGATACGGGTTCACGAAACGTACCTATTTGCAGCCGATAAGATGAAAGCGAACGGGAAGAAACAGATGAACAAATTTTTTTTCAAACAAATTTTTGATCCTCTCTTTTTGTGAATTCTTCGAGTTTCTTGTGCAGGCAATAACAACAAGATGTAATCAACATTAATCGTGTATCATTATTTGAGTATGAAAATAATTGATAGTTGCATGTGAAGAACGTTGTAGTATTAAACTTTTTGTGCTGAAATTCGTTCAAAAAAAAGGCTACAGCACTGCAGGTTCCCAAGTTGTCTCCAACCTCAGTACTGATGCAGCTCGACGATGCTTAACTTCTCAAATCGGACGGGATGAGGTGCATTCATCGTGATATGGCCGTAGCCATTAATGACCTAAATGGACGACTTTTGTCAGTGGTATGCACAGCAAACACGAACACACAAAACTCATGTCAAAGATCACAAAGGAATTTTGTGATATTTATTAAGAGAAGGAACAGAATGTGCAACCATCTTCTCAATCCTTTCAAAAAAACCATTTAAATGATATGCTTGAACTGGGCGTCCAAGTGTTCGTAAATTGCATTCAGAATAACATTTTTAGGTCCCATGGCAAAGATGGCATTATCACTCTTGGTATCCACATTTTCTCCCACTTTCTTACAATCATCCAAATGACGTAAGAATTCAATAGCACCGCTGTCGTCACCATGTCGAATAAATAAGACATTCACTCGATTTCCCGTTGGATCTGATTTCACAACTCGGTTATAAATCAAGTCAAGGATTTTAGGTTCCTGTCCAGAGTTAGGACTCCCATCTGTGAACACAATAAACAAAATATTTTCATGGTTGTTCAAGTGTCTGTCAAATGCCATTTTCAAAGCATCCAATAAATTGGTTGATCCTCCAGGTCTGTGATTTCTAAAACTCACCAACATTTGACCAATGTTGGTCGCTTGATATTCAACAACCTGATCGTCAAAGAAAAAGATTGGAACCGAGCCGTTTGCATCATATTCAAAAACGCTTTCAGCTAAATATTTGGCGACTTGAAACACATTGTCATATCGAGTCCATTGATTGGTTTGAACCATTCCCTTCTGTCTTCCTTGTCCAGTGGCATCTTCATCCAATGTTGCCATTGAACCACTCTTGTCAACAATCAGAACAAGTTGAAGACCCTGTAAAGCATCTTCATATTGGTAGGAATGTTGATAGAATTGTTCTTGGTGACGATTTTGCATGGATGAAGGGATTTCATAACCCATTGGATAATTCATTTTGAAGTTGTTGGTGTGAACGGAAGCAAATTGTGAATTTGTTTTTTTGTGTTGTCGTTAATTGTTGAGATGGGCAATGCAAAGGACTTGTCTTTTATCACGAAAAGAAATCGTGAAAACGGGTGGTTTCTTACATGACAATGGACATTATTCACGATCTCAAGATGGCAAGACTATCAACGTATTGAATCACTTGTTCACGTTATGGAGAAGTTGACACTTGCTTGTCAACAACCCAACTCTGTGTTCAACCTTTAATTTCACATTAATTAAAAAATGTACCAAAACCAAAGGCCTATGAATGTGAGTTGGTTCTACAATGAGAATAGAGTAAAAACAATATCATTCCGTTATCATCCAATTACTAACCAGGAACCATCATTGTAAAACACAATCCTCCTGTGCTATTCGGTTACCGGTCCCACGCAACTCCTCTTTCAGCAGCGGAAGCATTTACCTCATACGACTCGCTCGGCCTACCTTAACAAGAGCCAACGATCCGTTAAGCTCTTCAATCAAGAACGAAGAAAAAAAATGTCATCTTCTACATCACCTGCTACTACGACTAACCCCAAGACGCAAGAAAAGGAAGAACCTAGAGAATTTGGAGGTCCATGGGGATGTTTGGCCATCATGATTTTCTCTCATATCATTCCATATTATTATTGGTATTGTTTGGAATTTAATGACTCGAAATTGGTTTGGTTCGGAGATGTGGATTGGGCTAGAGCATGGCAACACGCTCGTCCTAATTGGACTGCTTTCAACATTTATATGGGCTTTATTGTCTTTGAAGGATTATTGGCTTGGTTGATTCCTGGACATTATCATGATGGTCTTCCATTGACTCATGAAGGCGGAAGGAAATTACAGTACAATTGTAATGCCATTCAAGCCTGGTATGTCTTGTTGGGTACTGTGGCTGTGTTGTACGTGACTGGAATTGCTCCAATCTCCATGTTATTGGACAATTATGCTTCAGTCTTGTCAGTTGCTATCATTTTCAGTAACTTGGTCGCCTTGTTCACCTATTTCTATACCATTGCTATCGGAAGACAACACAGAATGACCGGAAGTTTCCTCTATGATTACTTTATGGGAGCCATCTTGAACCCAAGATTGGGAAGTTTGGATTTGAAAATGTTCACTGAGGCCAGAATTTCATGGGTCTTGTTGTTCATGTTGACACTTTCTGCAGCTGCCAAGCAATATGAACAATTGGGTTATATTACATCTCCAATGGTTTTCATGATTACTGCTCATTTCTTGTATTGTAATGCAATTATGAAGGGAGAAGAATGCATTGTGTCCACTTGGGACATTTTCTATGAAAAGTGGGGATGGTAAGTGGTGTCATACTCGTTCTTCCGAATTTATTGACCTGTCCTCCATGATTGATTATTGGTGTTTGATGATGAATTTTATTTTCATTCATAATCATTGAAAATTTCTGAAATTATTTTGTGATGATATATATTGGGTGTGAATATTACGTGTGAATACACATTTCACACATGAACATGCCAATATTGGACACTCATGATTTGATCGGAATAGGCTCTTGATTTTCTGGAACTTGGCTGGTGTTCCATTCGTTTATTGTTACTCTTCGGTTTACATTTTGAAGAAGGGAACTGAAATCAATCATCCAATATGGTACACTGTTCTTTTGTTTGCAGTTTTATTGTTCGCATACTACATTTGGGACACTGCTCAGAGTCAACGTAACAGATTCCGTATGATGAAGGCAAACACTTTCAAGGACAGAAAGACATTCCCACAATTGCCTTATGGTACTTTGCCACCTAATGCTAAGTGTTTGAAGACTAAGGCTGGAAGTGAATTGTTGGTTGATGGTTGGTGGGCATATGCTAGAAAGCCTCACTACACAACTGATATCATGATGGCTTTGTCATGGGGATTGATTTGTGGTTTTGGATCTTTCATTCCATACTTTTATTTCTGCTTCTTTACTGGTATGATTATTCACCGTGCTCACAGAGACATGGAAAGATGTAAGAGAAAGTACAAGGATGACTGGGATGTTTATTGTAACACAGTCAAGTATATTTACATTCCAGGTATTATTTAAATTAAACTAAGTTATTGTTGCAAAATTTCAAAACCTCAATATTTTACAATGTGAAAAATTGTTGTAAAGCACTCTCAATTCAAAATTTTAAACGCTACAATAAACGCTAATATCTACTAATGGATGTTGGTGATGTCTACTGAGGAGAGATTTCAAGTTGAAAAAGCATTCTTGAGGATCATGGTACGAAGTGACATCAACTTGTACAAAGGTCAAGCAGTTTGCTAATTGAAAGTTCATGCATAAATGTATTATTCAATCCATGATTTAAACAGTAAAGTTATTAGGCAACAAGTTTTAACATCCAATGATTAGAGTTGAAAATGTGTGCACAACAAACTTACATCTTTGTGAAGCGTTAGAGCCGTATAGTACAAAGCATTTCAACTTCTTGTGATAAACAATGGTAGTATAGCAGGAACTTTGACGAGATTCCAAGTTAATGGCCGTTAGATTACAAATCAAATCACTACTGTGCTTAGGTTTCTTTTTAGAAAAAGTGAGAACAAAAATGTTGGGATCATAGTCCTCATCCCTGTTATAGTTAGTGGTTTTACATCCTCCATAGAATGCAAATTGATGGTCACTAACAATGGTGCTGTGAATCACGTGAACAGCAGGTATACTATACAATGGTGAGATTGGATCTGAGATGATTTGGAATCGATTCTCTTTGAAATGATAAATGAGAATTTCGTTGGTCATTGGAGCATTAGCACCTGGTCGTAGTTTTCCACTAACTGTGACCATGACATCAAATTTTGGAAGGTATTGAGCAGCATGGTACGCTCTTGCAACTGCCTGATCATGATTTTGTGCAATGATTTGCCTACAAGTCTTCTTTCCAAGATCAATTTCAAATAGTTTGTTACAAAATGAACCAGCAATGAGACCTCCAAAAACGTAAAGCAAATTACTGCTTCTCAAAACTAGAGAATGGCCTTCGACTTGGGGCAACTCTTCACTGTTCTCAATATGTACATTCTGCAAATGTCTTGTTTTCATGTCCATCACAAAAAATTTGCAAGTTGGGGTTCTCTCAAATGAGTAGGTACTTCCTCCGTATCTATACCACATGGTACCAAGAGTGTAAAACAAATATGAGAAGGACACAGCCATGAACATATCATAAGGTGTCACAATCACGCTCGTCATACTACACATCAAATGCACTCCATACTTACAAATACACTTTCCCCTTTGTGTGGTCTGTACAAACACTCCTAAATAGGAGAGTATTCTCATTAAACACGTCGTTTGCAGCACTATACGCAATTTTACCAAGAGTGGCCTTAATTCCATTGTATTGTGGGAACTGTGCATGATCAGCAGCTTTATCGCTTATATTGGATAGAACATGCTTCTCTTCGTTCAAAGTTCCTGAATCAGCAGTGACGTCACTCGACGACTTGTTTGGTACAATTCTACAACACAATAACTTTCTCAGGCTGGCACCATAATCGGAGGGAAAGTAACACACCTCATCGCCATATAAGGCAGCAGATGTGTGAGAGACTTCGTCATAATCCATGGCACAAGTTCTGTAGAATTGATACTTTCTCTTGTTTGTTGTTGATGTTGGGCTGTCATGATTTGGAGCAGATCCATGTTCGAAACTTGCCGTGTTATCTACAAGACTCTTGTTGCAAAGTGGATGTTGTTGCATATTGGTGCTAATCATGAACAATTCAGTGTCCTCTTGTCCATACATTCTTGTAAAACAAGTTCTACTCTTAATTTCTTCATCAAACTTGTGCATCAAACCTTCCTCTTCTTCATCCTGATGTCTGTTCTTGTGCTCAAAATGAATATGATGATGATGATGGTGATGATGATGAGATGGAGAATGATGATTGGTTGTATGACTCGCCAAATGTGTTGATGCCAAAGAAGAAGAATTTTCTAATCCCACATTGGAATGACTCGTTGAAATTTGTTCTTGCTGATCCGATAATGATCCATCAGACGAGGATGACGACGAGCCTCGATTCAATAACCAAGAAGCAAAGGCCGACATTTTTTTAAAAAAAAATTGGAAGTCCCATCCTTGAACTAGCGTTACTCGATCATCATGTCGGGTCGATGTTGGTTCGGAGATGAATGAGTAAGGAAAATGGATCATGGAATGAATGTGTGGAAATTATTGTTGAGAATGAACGAAGGATGGTTGTAGAAAGAATTGGAGGGAGAAAACGGGAAACGGAATATTTTGGTGTTGTAAATGTTGAAAAGGGTCTTTGGAATTTTGTGTAAGAAGCGTGTGCTACAAATTCTCTCAATTGCGTTGAACAAATCCAGGGTAAATCCTTTGTTTAAATATTCGAACAGACAACGAACCATTACTTCCTATTGAATCTTCCGTGAATCTTGGTAGAATTAGACTGTTATCGTTTCGTTGTAATCGCCTTTGTAGTGAAACGACCGTTGGTGGATTCAAAGCTTCCTGGAAGTGATATGGAGTCCTTAATGTCAAGGATCAAACAGCCGAATCAATAACACAGTTTTATATTGGACCACTGAAATTGAGCCATTCACGATTGTCTTCCCTTAAACATACGTTTTTTCACATCACAGTCAAACTTTCCCAAATAACGATTAGGAATCATTCGTCAAGTTAGAACTCATCTTCTTTCGTCTTGAGAACTATTTGAAAAAAAACTGTTAACAACCTGTCTCGATATTTGAATAACGTTGAGCTTGGCTATGAGGTTCCCAGCGCATGTCTTCATCAACAACACATCAGCACTCCAAACCAACAACAGGAATCTCATTATTATGTAGACATTAAACCAGAACACCAAGCGAAGTCAGGATTTTATGACATTCCGGAGGTTAACGAATTGAGTGTCGAAGAATCCGAGTTGATACAGACAAGAAACGATGGAGCTCGTTACATTAAAGTCTGTTCAAAGATCAACTATGTTTTGATCACGTTTTTGATGCTTGATAAGAACAATCTTGAAGTGAAAAACAATGTTCGTTCAGAACACTCACCAATTAAATCTATTCCATGCAAAACCATTCGAGATGTTAAAGTGTACGTTAAAAAGTCCAAGTTTTATGTTATTGTAAAATTAGAGTCAGGTTTTTCAAGAAAAAATTGACAAGGATTTGACAAACTTGAAACAGCTTTAATGCCAGCAAAAATTGTTAAATTTTTGCTCAAAACATGCAAATAAAAGGAATACAATGGATCAAAAACCATTGTACAAATTAGTTAAGTTCAGTCATGGACGAGATTCTGCTTGGCAAATGTAACAGGCAACAAGTAGTAGTTGTAACGAAATGGCGTCCTTTTGTTAAGCTTGAAGAATAAGTAATGAAATTGTTATTACTAACATGAAACAGATGAAATTCGTTATTGTAAAAAAAATGATTCAACCACATGAAGTCCCTTCCGCTTCCTCATCATCACAACCTCATGACGCGGATGTGATGGTAGATGAAGATCATGATAACGAGAATGAATTAACAACCTATAATGCTCACAAAAATGATGCAAATACATACCGATGGGAACAACGATATGATACCGGAGGTGTGGATGCTCTTGAAGAACAACCCATCGGTGATTTCATGAACCGAATCATGTTGGAAAAGGAATTGAGTAAAAGAGAACGAGTAGTAAAGAGGCATCAGTTGATGTATTGGAACGCTGGTGCCAGTGCAGGAAAAGCCCTTCCGCAAGAAAAAACAATCATCAAAAAGGGAATTATTCGATTTTTATATCTTGTCATTGATTGCAGCAATGGAATAATGTTACCATCTAATCATGATGAAAAAACATCTCGTGCACAATCTGTAATTTCAACAGCCAAAGAATTTATCAAGGAATATTTTGATCAGAACCCTCTTTCACAACTAGGATTAATTACAACCAAGAACGGTGTCGCTAAAGTGTTGAAAGAATTAACAGGAAACGTAAAACTCTTAATTGCAGAATTGAAAAAGCTGTTTGATGATGCCAATAGACATTCGTCATCTCACCCCACACGTTCATTTGGTGGTGACCCTTCCTTACAAAATGTTCTTACTCTTTCCTACGACTCACTGCATCAAATTCCAAACTATGGCTCAAAAGAAGTTGTAATAATTTATTGCTCACTGTCAACATGTGATCCCGATAACATTTTCGACACCATGAAGCTTCTCAGAGATAAGAATATCAGAGCGTCGGTCATTAGCTTAGATGCTGAAGTATACATTTGTAAACAAATTGCAAAACAAACACAGGGAACCTATAATGTACCTTTAGATGATGAAAGCTTTAAAGAAATGTTGATGGCTCATGCTGCTCCACCTCCAACCACCACTACCTATGCCCAGAAAATTGTAGCTCCACCTGCCATGAGAATGGGTTTTCCTCAGAGACGAGCTCACACCCTCTATTCCATGTGTTTGTGTCACAAAAAGATTACACCTGGAGGATACATTTGTCCACGTTGTAAGAGCAAATACTGTGATTTACCTGTTGAGTGTGCAACATGTGGCTTAATGCTAGTCTCGTCCCCTCACTTGGCTCGATCGTATCACCATCTCTTTCCCGTTCAACAATTTGTGGATTATGAGAAAAAAGAAGGTGACCAACTATTTTGTTACGGATGTCAAAAGCACTTGTCAACAGAAGCACACATTGCCGTTCAGTGCCCAAGTTGTACCCATATTTTCTGTGTGGAATGTGACGCATTCATTCACGAGTCTCTTCACAATTGTCCTGGTTGCAATTAATCATGAAACAGACTGAATAAATTTTGTAGCAGTGAGATCAAATCGGAGTTTCACAATTCAAAAAAAAAATATTTCACCTTTTCAATATTGTTCCATGCACTTCTAAAACAACACCCAAAATGATGAAAAAGACAAACAATACCATCCAAAAATTGAGTACTCAATACATTCAAAAGAGAGCATTTTCGACCGGAAATGCAATGAATCGATTGACGAGTCATGGCACCATTCAATTGCCGTATATTGTGAATGAGCCAATGGTAGGTGGTGTTCTTGTTTCATGAGAAGATTAATCTCATAATGACATATCATGATAATCCTCTAACAACATCCGAATGGTTGAACAAATTGTTACACAATATGACCATCATCAACATGATCATCATCTTAATCAAAACAATTTTTAATTTCAAAAATCATCTTTCTGAATCATCATCACACACTTCCTAATAGAAAACCTATGCAAAAGGCTCTCCAGAACGATCCGCTGTTCTCTCCGAATGCGAAAAGTATCTCAATGTTCCAAAGGATTCCATCCTCCAAATTCCAACCATCATCAATGGAAAACGTTATTATCAAAACGATGAAGATTTAACCTTCCTTCGTGAGATGCCTTCTCTCCGTTCTCAATATCTATTCCGTGCTCATGGTGCCAATAAGGACATGATCCGAGAAGCTATTGAAGGCTCTTTGAAAGCCAAGAAGGAATGGGAAGATATGCCTCTCGAGTATAAGTGTTCTGTCTTTTTGAAAGCTGCAGATTTGTTATCTAGTCCAGATTGGAGATACAAGATCAATGCTGCTACCATGATGGGACAAGGAAAGACCATGTATCAAGCTGAGATTGATAGTTCTGCTGAATTAATTGACTTTTTACGATTTAATGCTTTTTATGCTTCCAAGTTGATTGGACGACAAGTGGATCATCACAATGCTGGAACTTGGAATCGAGTGGAATATCGTGCTTTGGAAGGATTTGTTGCTGCAATTTCTCCATTTAATTTTACTGCTATTGGAGGAAATTTAGCTTGTGCTCCAGCTCAAATGGGAAATGTTGTCTTGTGGAAACCAAGTGACACTGCTGTGTTGAGTAATTATGTGATTTATCAAGTTTTGGAGGCTGCTGGATTGCCACCAGGTGTTATTCAATTTGTTCCAACCAAGAAGGCATCCGATTTTGGAGAGACAGTTCTCAATGATCCAAACTTTACAGGTCTCCATTTCACAGGTAGTACCAAGACATTCCAAACATTGTACAATGAAATTTCTAACAAGTTGAACACTTACAAATCCATTCCAAGAATTGTTGGTGAGACGGGTGGAAAGAATTTCCACTTTATGCATCCAGATTGTGATGTGACCACCTTTGTCAATCAAACATTGCGTGGCTCATTTGAGTACAGCGGTCAAAAGTGCAGTGCTACATCAAGATGTTACATTCCAAAATCTAAATTTGCTGAAGTTAAACAAGCACTCATTGAGGAGACCAAGAAGCTTAAAGTTGGTCAACCCAACGATCCAAAATCATTCACCTCTGCTGTTATTGATGAAAAATCATTCGACAAGATTGTTGGATTTATTGAACGAGCAAGGAATAGTCCTAAATCAAAGATCATTGTTGGAGGTAACCATTCTAAGGAAGTTGGTTACTTTGTTGACCCAACCATTATTGAGACTACTGATCCTGTTTCTGAAACCATGTCACAAGAAATCTTTGGACCAGTTCTCACTATTTATGCCTATGATGATTCAACACAGACCTTCCTCGATGATGTACTTCGTTTAATTGATACCACATCTTCGTATGGACTTACGGGTGCAATCTTTGCTCGTGATCGCAATGTTATTGCTAAATGTGTGGAAGGTCTCAGACATAGTGCTGGTAACTTTTATATTAATGACAAAAGTACTGGTGCCATCGTTGGTCAACAACCATTTGGTGGAAGTAGAGTCTCTGGAACCAACGATAAGGCTGGCTCAGAGAATATGCTTCTGAGATGGACCAGTGTGAGAGCTATTAAGGAAACATTTGTACCTCTCAAACATTGGGGATATCCTTCCATTGATTTGGAATAAATTTTGACTGGTTGTTAAATAATATTATTTGTTTACAAATTGAAACGGATTTGAGCATTTAGTGTGGATAACTTTCATTCTAGCAAATTCGTGAATGATTCAAAGCACACTCAAATTTGGTCTTGAACTCTTTGGCTTTCGTGGAGTCGTTCATTTCCTCAAACACGTGGGAACTGTGAATGAATATCGAGGCAATATCGAAGAAATTAAGTTCATAGTCATAAACATTTTCTTCTTGCAAGTATTTGAGGTATTCCAACAAGATTTCAGAACTCTCTTCCTGGTCCAAAACACTGCTCGCTAAATTGTGGGAAAAATAATATACTATGTCAAGATCTATTGATCAATATAATTATTAATGACTTACCAATGTAATTCACAAAAATATGAGAACATGCATTGCAAGGATTAATTAATTTTGCTGCTGCAAAATCAAATAAAGCGGCTTGTACATCATGATTTTCCAAGTGAAGTGTCCCTCTCTCTTCGTATATATCAGCCAGTCGTTTTTCATATTCTTTCATATCATATTGTGAAAATCCAGAGCTCACTTCTTCGTTGTGATAGCAATATTTTGAACGAAAATCGTTGGCTGCATGTCTTGTTGTAAACAACGATAGAAGATTCATAACATTCGATCCAACATAGCTTTTTAGTTTCACCAAAATTCCTTCCCATTTTGGAACTTGTAATTCCTTAATTTCAATACATTTCGTATAGTCCTTCACTGCATTTTCATATTCACCTCTCCTTCCATAGAGACTTGCTCTTGAAAAATAGGATCTCAAATGTCTATCGTACCATTCTGTTGCTTTAGAATAATAATTTAGAGCGTCATTCGAGGTTTCGTTATTTTCTCGCAACACCCATGCAATATTTGTACAAAGAATACAGATATAATAAGAGTGATATTTGGAGTGAAAAGGGCTAGCATGAACACGTTCAAGAGCTTTTTCAAAATATTTACAAGATTCCTCAATATAGCGCTCCTTTTCTTGAGAAGTTAAATTTGAATTCTTGTCTAAGCATAAAGAACCGAAAGAATATCCACAGGAAAATAAAGCATAGAAACCATTGGGGACTAGTCGACAAGCTTCCTTGTAGTACTCCAAGCTGGTGTGTTGTTGTTCATTAATCTCATAAATTAATCCGATAAATAAATTATGAAAATAGTCTCTTTCAATGTCTCTTTCTGATTCCGAAAACCAATAACTAAAATTACATTTATGTAATCCCCAATATAGAATTCTAATTGCATGAATATTCCTAAATAGTAAATGAGTGTTATAAAATTTATATGAATATTAGCAACACACACATAATGGTTCTTGCCGAGATAATTTCGTAATTACCTACCTATTTGAGAGACTCATACAAACACTCCATTCTAAATATCCTTCAAAATTACTCGGTTCCAATTCCACAACTTTTTTCAAATACTCAAAAGATTCCACGTAATTTTCTTCCATTCTCAATAATATACCTTTCCGAAGCAAGTCATAATACTCTTCTCGTCGCCTATTAAAAATTATTTCAGGATTTACATTTGCTTCACCACTCTTCTCCATTATACTGTGAGCAGATTCTTCACAGGCGGTATGCTTTTTTGATGATGAAAGAGATGATGAAAAGAAGGACACTACAGCATCGTGATGGTCTTTCAGCATTTTTTTTTAGATTTACAACGACTTTAAAAAAAAATGACGGAACTCGCTCTCATTCCGAACGACTCCCATCATCATCAACAAGTACAGAGCTCTCGTTCGGGTGATGACCTATTAGCAGATGATATTGTTTTTTCAGTTATGCAATTTTTAAAACCAGAATTTATTTTGAGGGTGTGTATGAAAGTTTGTAGACAATGGAATGAACAAGCGAGAAAAATACCACTCGAATTAGAATTCATGTTCGAGAATATGACTCCAGTCAAATTAAAGCTTCTTGGAAACAGTTCTACCATGAAGCAACTAAAAAAGTTGGGATTATTTGGTCATTCTTTGGGATCAGAAGGTGTGAATGCAATTGTTTTTAGTAATTATCTTTACAATTTGGAATCACTCGATTTGGATTCTAATGAGTTGACATGTCGTGCAGTGGAAACCCTCTCTCAAAGTACGGTGTTGAAAAATTTGACGAGTTTGAATTTAAATCACAATGGAATTGGTCCTGAAGGCGTTCGATGTATTTGTAATAGTCCATATTTGACGAAATTAACTGAACTCTTCTTGATCGGTTGTCATGTACAAAATCAAGGTATCACATGTATCACTAAAAGCGAAAATCTCAAAAATTTGACTCTTTTGGACCTGAAAAGCAATAACATTACAGTTGAAGGTGCTAAACAATTGGCAGAATCAGAATATTTAGGAAATTTACGAAAACTTAAATTGAACCACAATCCCATTGAGGACGAAGGTGTCAAATTTATAGCTACCAGTAAGCATTTGAATCATCTTACGAGTTTGGAATTGGCATTCACACGTATTGGAGTAAATGCAGGAATTTCCATTGCTAAAAGTGAAAATTTGAAATTATTAACCTCCCTCAACGTAGAAGGAACGTATTTACGATATACTCAAGCCATTTACACACTCCAACAAAAGCTACAAAATTTGAAATATTTTCAGCATTAAATTGTCTTACAAAACAAGTATGTATTTTTCGAATTTTTAGTTAATTTGGAATTTTCACGCTTGATCTCAGTTATTTTAAATTTGATTTTGAAAACATTAAAAAAATGTCGAAATTAAGAATTCATAATTTCTCCTTTGGTAAAGCAGGAAGTAATTTTCTGACCAAAACATGGCTGGATACATCATCAAGTCCTCCTCGGAAACAAACTGTACATTATTATTTGAATGAAAAGTATTTGAAAATGGAGGATCACTCATGTCATCATGATCCACAAAGGTCATCAATAGCCACATCATCATCAACATTAAATCCTTCCCAAAGAGAATATAACATCTTTTTTCCAGGAGACATACAATTAACACGGAGTGATTTTATTAAATATTTAAATTCCGATTATCCATTTGAAGAGGAGGACATGAATGAGAATGCCAACACAAATCCACAACAACAACACGATCTCAACAATACCAGCCACGAAAATCATGCTCCAGCAATTACCGAAGTTTACTATGAAAAAGTATTCGATTTGTTATATGAAAAATTTCCAAATTCAGTGGCTTATTTAATTTTTCAACCATCACAGTTAGATTACACATCCTTGATATATGAATATGAAAATTTTTATGTGAAAGGAAATGCAAATCGACTCGTTTTAGAAATTCTCAATGATTTATTTCCACATGAATATTTTGGACACGACACGTGTCAAGCATTTGTTCATTTATTGGCCTTCTCGAAAGGATGTGTGGCATTGAATTCCTTAATTAGTGAGACGACTAATTTTCAATGGTATCTAGAACAAGAAGACGCAGAATCTTGTATCACATTTGATCACTGGAAGAATACATTCAAATACAGACATTGGGATGAGAATACAAGTCCTCTCGTTCAAAAATGTTATCGAGTGCCGCTGTTACAGGAACATATTCCACTCTTGAACAATACCAATTTCAAGCCATTGATGCAACAAGCAGTGAATTTCTTCAAAAATCAAGTGAAAACTATTTATTATTTGGATGGTCATCGATTTATTACCGATGAAGTCATATTACAGAAATTTTACTCGACTATTGTCTATGAAAAGAGTACTAATAGCAGTAGTGGTTGTAGTACGAATAGCAGCAATCCTCTCATGATGATGATCAAAATTTATCAAACTCCACTCGTGGAAGAGAAGAATATTTATCGGAAACATATCAAGATGGAATCCGAGGGGTTTATGAAAATCCTAAAGAGAACATATTCACAATTGAGTCGGAAGAATCAAACTCCGTGTCCGAATCTGGTGTATCAATATTATTATGGCGAGCTTGAGAATCGGGTGAATCCTTTTGTGTTGCATTTCAAGTTGTTGAAAGATTTTCAGATCTAATCATGTGGAATTCGTGTGTGTGCATGATGATCGATCCAATGTGTTCAACCTATATTTTACAGAATGAATATATAGCTATAAATATATATCTAACAACAGTTCAACGGTGTTGTATGAATTTTCATTCATTACCACCAATCCCAAATATTGCTGTATTCATGGCGGTGAGGCAAGTCTTCAATTCCTGCCAAGTCACAATGTTTTTGAGAGTTCAAGGCAGATCGGGTGAGAGCTTTCTTGCTACCATGATATTCTCTCTTCCAGAATCGTTTCGAGTGGGATCGATTACCTCGGCGACTATTGAAAGAACGAGCCATGATGATTGTTTTTTTTTTGTTGTTGCTGATTCTGCTCTGATCGTGTCAAGACAGGATTTTAATAGAAAATGTCAACGTTAAAAATAGATTGGTTTTTGGTTGACTGCTCCAAAAGATCTTTTGGCGCGGAGAACTTGCGAATTGTTTACGGCAAGAAATGCTGATTACAAAGCGGCTTATGGGATTCTTACCTACAGACCTAACACAGCATATTGTAGAGAAATTCAAATGAAATCTTTTTGTGTGGTCACTCCTGAAATTTTAGACGTGGCTCCAATTTTCGCTGAGGCTTTGGGAACAATAAATTTTGGACTACCGCTTTTGATGATAAACAGCATCCAAAGATTCATTAAATCGTTCCTTCTTGATAAATTGAAGCCTATTGATTCTACCCAATGCTTCTTCCGTTTCTTCCTTCATTAATTCTGTTTGTGCAATCAGATAGTCAGCATTGGTCATAAATTCCTGATCTAGTTTGGTAACAAGACTCTTGTACTCTTCAATTTCCTCAATATGAATATTCTTTTGGTTCAGAATTGAGGGAGTGTGGACATGTTCTTCTTCATTACGTTTTGCCAATTTGGACTTGATTTTGTTGGAGCTTTGTAAAATATTTCTCAAGATTGATTCGACTGTTTCTGGCTGTTTGGGATTGGTGGTATGTTTTTCACATGGTTCCTCCTCCTTTTTTTGCTCTGATTTTTTTCTAGCTTCTAAATCTTCTTTTCGTGTCAGATTGTTGAGCTTTGAATTTCTCAAAGTACTTGCAATGCTGCTATTTAAGGTTGATAAAAACGATTGATTGCCAAAATCAAAGTCTTGGGGTAGTAGTAGACTTCCTCGTGAGAAATTTAAAGAATTTCGAGCTGAAATAGCCATTTGAAGCTCCAATTTCTTTTTTACAGCCTCCGATGAAAATGGCATGTTTGTGATATCAATTCCAACTCTTTGGAGATATTCTTCATAGGTTTCCTGACTACCAATGGTTGTGACACTCATGTTGTCGTCGTCAACAGCAGCTTGTTCAATGAGGTGTGTCGAATTGTGAGCTCTTCCAAGATCTATAATACGCTCCTCAAAGTAGGGTATTTCCACACTGGAAAAGTCAGCTTCGCTTGCTTTTTCAGTTTTATCACACGAGCTTGGCCTTGTTTCTTTCCTCAACTCATCGATATAAATTACTTTATCCATGTATGTAGGAGAATATGTAGGATAAGATGGATTTTCCAGAGTTTGTTGCGGCTTTTCTTGGTCAAGATAAATTATCCTTTCTTCGAATGGTGGAGGTTTTAGCTCTTCATTGAAGTGACAAGAGGGTTTAACATTTTCAACGTTGGATGTAATGATACTAGAGAATGGTTCCTCAAGCTGTGCAGTGGTGGCCGCTTGAGCTATTGGAATGGGTACAACATTTTGTCGGGCATTTGCAGGTGTGTGGTCACATTGTTCAGATTTCACAACATTAGAGTACGTTGATGATGAGTGGTGGACAGATGATTGGGATTCTGGTCTTGTAAGCATCGTTGGTAGTTGTTTCATGTCAGTGAGTGGCAATTTGTACGGTTGATCGTCGCAGCGTAGAGGTTCAGAGGGGCGTTTTGTTACTGTGACAGTGGGTTTCTCTTGATTCACATTTTCAGGCGTCATGTAATCTTCGAGAGCATACGTAATTTCGATAGCTTTGGATGGGGAGTTTTTGGTTAGAGGAATTCTTGAAGTCAGTTTTGAATCGGTCGATGAATTGACACACTGAATATTGCTTACATTGGGAAGGTCACGCGAATCGGCAATTCCCTTAGTGTGAGTTGCGATAGGAACTTCAGGAAAATGAGCCGTGTTGTTAAGGATAGATATATCCAAAGCAGAATTTGACGTTCCTTCTCGTTCTTGCTTTTCCATTAGTTGAAAATAGGTTTCTAGATCCATAATACGAGAATTCCTCAAAACCTCTAGCAGCTGTTCTCCTTTCAATGGAGCTTTTTTCTGCTCTTCAGGGCTAGTTTGAATACCTAAATTAGAAACATTGACAGGTGGCATTGCACGACCCTCAGTTTGTGTACATTCCTCTAAAATGGTTGAATTCATTTGAACGGATTTGTCTATGGTTGTGATGTTGTTGCTCTCTGTAGAGCATGATGTTTCTGGGCATTGGTCTTGAATTTCTTCGTCAGCATAATACTTGATGCCGTTTGCAATATTATACATTGGATAATTTGCTTTGAGTAACTGAATAGACAAGTCTTCCGAGATGGAATTATCATTTGAGTCATACTTTTTCAACTTGATAATCTTTTTGTGCTTTTTCTTAAGGTCTTCCTTAATATCCTCCGAGCACGCCACGACATTGTTGGCAGGATGAAAAGGATCCAATAGGAGTTTGTGTCTTGAAGCTTTTTCCTCTTGCTGCTGCCTTACGAGGTGTTTTAGTTTACTCTTTCCTTCTGGTCTCAATAATCGTGGAGGTGGTGGTCCCTGTGGCATGCCTGGTATGTTTCCACTTGTAAAATACTGCATTGGTGGAGAGTGATGAGGTCTATAATGATTGGGATTGTATTGCGATGGTGGTGGCATGTGGCGAGTTCTATGCAAATCACGTTGCAATTTTTCATTCTTTTGCCTCGTATAATTTTCATCATGCACATCAAACACGTGTTGATGTGGGTGAGGATACCATGGATTCAGCAAAATAGGAGATGCTTTATCACGACGACCAAATCCGTAATCGGGTGAATGACCTGAACGACCACGATTTTCACCACCAGTACTACAACGTTCATGCATGTATTCATTCCTCCGAATCCTCAACAATCGTATTCCAACTTCTTCATCTTGCGGAATGGGCGTTGCTGCTGTCAAAATCATTTTTTCTTCAAATTTTGAATGTCTAAGCGCAAATTGTAAGTTTTGGAGGGAATCGGCTTTATGGGCAACTTGATCTCAACTCATCCATTTCTAACGACTACTACTACTACTTGTTGTTCTCCACTCAAGCTCTTCCAGCTTGGCTCGTTCGGATAGAATTTTCTCTGTTCTCAAATTGAAAACATCCAACGCATACATGAGGGCAACCAGCAATAAGAACGCAAATACGAGGTAATAGTTGTGAGCGAAAAACCGAACGGACCTTCTCAAAACATCTTGTATAATTTCTAAAAAGGACTTGTTTGAATAGTGCATGAATTTCTGGGATTGGTGTTTCTTTACTTTTTCTTGCTTGCGGGTGCTTTCATGTTCGGAAGGAGCCGTGGTGATGAAATACTTTTTGTGTGATGGGGTTGTTGGTTGTTGAGACTCTTCTTCTATTGGTTGTTGTTGGGGTGGTGTTGAAGAGTTTGTACTCTGCGTTGTTGAAGAATTACTAATAGCCTAATTTCCATCACAACGATGATGTACAATAATCAAACTCAACTTACTCCTCTCTCAAAATTGAATATCTTCTAAAGGACGATGGAATAGATAAAATAATTGATAAATTAATAGATGATGATGTTTTGCTCTGGTAATTTATAAATTCCGAAGCTCTCAGAGAATGATGACACTTCATGCCACGTATCAGTGATGCTCCAACACTTTTCAACATTTTTTATTTGAACAAGATCAGGTAATTCATTAATTGATTGACCAACTAAAAACAACGATTTCGAATATGGAACTCATTGTCAATTCCTTTTATTATTCGGCCAACCAATACTGAGTTGACCCAGAGTTGTTTCTCCATTTTCTGTGAAATTCATCAAAAAAATGGCCTCCAATTATAATCATCAGCTCAACAACGACAAGGATCATCCCTCTCATCACCCCCTTCACGCTCGTCCTTCTCATCACGAACAAGAACTCTCCTATAGTTTAAATCATGTTCCCTCTTCCTCCTCACTCAATCATTCCTTTCGTTCTCGGATCCAATCCATCGTCCTCTCTCTAAAACATCTTCTCGGACCCATGTTCTTCAACAAGGGCTTTTTCAACGTGGTTAATTTAGGAGCCTCTTTCTTTTTATTATTTGCAGCATTTGGTACCACTCAATCCTTCATAACGACCCTCCGAAAATCCGAAGGCTTTGTGAGCTTGTCCATTTTATATTTTGTTTTTGCCTTTTCCAATTTAGTCGCTCCTTCGTTTACACAATTATTTAGTCCAAAATGGACATGTGTGTTGGGAGCTTTGTGTTATTGTTTGTTTGTGTTTGCTGCTGGATTTGATAGTAGTGTCTTGTTGTATTGTGCTTCAGTGGTGAATGGATTTGGAGCTGCTTTGCTATGGACTGGACAGGGAACTTTATTGACACAATCTGCAAATTTAACGCAGATGAAAATTAAAGAATTTCAAATGAAGAATGGACAGAGTTCTGAGCAGTCGAGTGCTGAACGGCAAAATTCTGGACAGGAAAAAGAGGCAGCCTCTGGAAATAGTGTGGAAGTGATGGGATTTTTTAGTGGAGTGTTTTTTGCCTTGTTTCAATTGAATTCGATTTTTGGAAATATTTTAGCTGGATCGTTATTTAGTAAGTGGAGTGTACTTGTCTACTATGGAGTCGCGAGTGACAGTTTTTATTTTTGAAATAATTTATAATTTCTTTTTTTGGTAAATAATGTAACGATTGAATTGAAAATTATCTTGAAAATATTATAGGTGCTGGATTGACGAATTTTCAATTATTCTTTGTGCTCACCATTATTGCCTTGGTTGGATCTTTGTCATTAATTGCACTTATGCCTATTAAGAAAAGTGAATATGAAAAGAAATTACAAATCGACGAAGAAGATTTACAACATGATAATATTCATATTGATACAAGAAGTTTCACAGAAAGAATTTCCAACAAAATCAAAAATTATTTCACACAAGAATTAGCCAAACAAGCAAAAGATTTCGTTTCTCTCTTAAAACAAGCTTTTCTAGTGTTATTTTCAAAGAAAATGCTTGTATTTAGTATCATTTCATTTTACTCTGGATATAGCAATTCATATTTCACTGGATCGTTACCTCCTATCATTGGTCGAGATATGCTCGGATGGGTCATGATTTTATTTGGTATCAGTCAAGTTTCTGGAGCCTTAATTTCTGGAAAAATGTTAGACAAAATCGGGAGAAGAGTCACCATGCTCGCAGCCATGTTCATTCATTGCGTGGCTGTTTCATTGAGTACACAATTTGTGTATTGGGGAAATTCCGTTTCTAATGACATGGCTTCCAATCAAGACGATCCCTCTCATACCATCCAAAAACCAGCAGCTCTCTACTTGCTCTTCTTTGTGAACATGTCCTTGTTTGGCTTGTCAGACAGTTTTCTCACAAACTCAATCTACGGAATTTTGGGAAGTCCCAATTATTACAAGAAGAAGAATACTGCTGAAGCTTTTGCTGCTTTCAAAATGACACAATCTCTCTCCTCTGCCATTGGATTCTTTTGTGGAATTTATCTCAACGTTGTGACCATTCAAATCATTCTCGCTGTTTCATTTGGTGCTTGGCTTGTGGCCTTTTTTGTGATGGATAACATGATTGCTCCCGTAGATAAAAAGCAACAAAAACACACATCTGGTAAGAAGCAGCATGCGGTGGTCACGAGTGATTCTCCTCTTTTGCAATCAAATAACAATAGTGCTACCAACAATTCACAAAAAACCTTAGTATGAAAATAATTTATAATAAATCACAAGAATTCTCTACTTTATAAAATTACACATTTCTTATTCTTTTCATGCTCAAGCACACGCATGCGAGCGTTATCAGATGCATAAAGAACGGCTCTCTTACTGCGTTTATAGGCCACTTTCACAATTTCATAATCATCACGCAACGACAACGATGCATATTGCAGAGCTAATCCATGCTCTTTCACAGCTTTCAAAACCACTTGTCGATCATTCCTAAGTTCTTCAGAAACACACTCAAGATTGTAACCACGCTTTCCAACTGCCAACAGTGCAAGATGTTTGTTGCTTGTCAATTCTGTAGAAAAGTAACCAAAGTGAACGCTTGTTGCTTTCAAAACCCGTTCAGCGAATTTGAAATCATTACGAAGTCTCGTTGAGGCGAAATAGATGGCATAGGGAAAACGAACAATTACTTGCATGATAATTTCAGCATCATCTCTCAGTGCCGGTGACGCCTGCTTAATTGCCTCTGCATTTTGCTTAATAGCTGTTTTCACTACTTCACGATCGTTTTTCAAGTCATCCGAAGCTGAATCCAAACATAAACCATTCTTGGAAACAATTTGCATGACAAATTCACGATCGCTTTTCAAGTCATTGTGTGCAAATCGCAAAATATTGTCTTTGGATGTACCAGCAGCAAGCAGAAGCAGATTCTTGTTTTTACGTAACTCGGCAGATGCGAACTCAATGGCTTTTCCGAATTGATGAATTGCTTGTGTTACCACCAATTCATCGTTTCGTAATCGCTCTGACGCAAATTGTAAAGATTTACCATTTTGTCGAACCGCCTTCAAAACAATCTCTTCGTCATCACGATGAATCGTTGACAGGTGTTTTAGATTTAGACCATTTGTCGATACAGTTTTCAATATCATTTCTCGATTATCTAGGTCCTGTATGAGAGGAAAGTTGGCGTTGTGGCAGTTGTTGCTTTGCTGAATGGCTTCCAGCACATCAGGGTCTTTTCTAAATTCATCTGGAGTCATATTTGGTTGAAAATTGTCACTTCTGATTGCAGCAAGAAGTACATCCTTATCATTCTTTAAAGATTTTCCAATATATGCATAGTTTGATCCAGCTATTTGAACTGCCTTCAGGGCAATTTCTTTGTCACTTCTTAATTGCTCAGAAGCGAACTGAAATGCATGATAGTCAAAAGTCATTGAAGCTAATACAATCTCTCGATCGTTTCGAAGATCGGTGGGAAGATAATCTAATATTTCTCCATATATTTCACATGCTTGTAACATTAACTCCCTCTCAGAACGTACTCTCTCAGAAAAAAAGATGAGTGAATACGCAGATATTTCAAATACTTTCCAAGCAAATGTTAAATCGTCCTTGAGAGAATCAGAAGCAAATTCCATAGCAATTGCATTCTCAATAATGGCTTCAAAAACAATTTCCTTATCATTGCGCAATGTTGGAGAAGCATATTGCAAAAGAGTTCCTTTTTGTCTCACCGCTAAGAAGACAAGCTCTCGATCATTTTGTAATTCTTTGGATATAAATCGAAAATTCGCAATGCCGTGCGCTTTCAAGAATTGACAAACAAACTCACGATCACTTCTTAACTCCTCAGAGGCAAACTGCAGCGTTCCAGCTCTCCAAACAATTAATTTATCATTTTGAAATGGCTCTGGGACATGCTCTAACAGGCTACCATCTAAAGCACAGGCTTTCAGCATGATCAATCGATCGTTGGGATCCGGCCACCAATTCTTTTTCAAATAATTGCTTCGTTTAGCTGGCACCAAGGATATCAATTGTTGAAAATGTTCATCCCGTCGTTTGGCCATTTGGATAGCCTCTTGATGAAATTTATCTTTCAATTGATGAGCAAGTTCAGACCAATGAAAGACAACTTGATTGTTTTCATCATCATCATGTTCCGATATCGGATCATCTCTAAAATCAAGTAATAGAATACACACAACACAAGAGGATGATTCAGACATTTTTCGTTGTTTTCTTTTATGTAAGAACTATTATTATTGTTAGGTTGCAACGAGAGGGCGACCTCTTAGAGTTGAAGTTCGTTGGGAGTGCAGATTTCGCAAGATGCCATTTTTGTTTTGTTATTCAAAACATTAAAAATATTAAAGCAAGATCACAGTTTTCAGGGAACACTGATTTCCAATACTAAAATTATTACTTGATGAAATTGATATAATAATCATTGTTGTAGAAACAATTGAATATTTTCGGAATGCCGAGAATAATCTATATCGATGACACTGTTGCTCCTTACATTACTCACTTGATGGGTTCTTCTCATCAACAACAACAACAACACAACTCTACTAACATGACTTCTCCAGCAGCATTAAGTACTCATTCCGATATGGCAAATTATTCTGAATTATCATCATCATTACCATCATCATTGAATATCAACCATCATCATGAGGAGAGCAATAATGATGATATTAAAATCATTCGGTACTTACGAAAAAGACCCCTACGAACTGTTGAAGTTTATGCGTTTGGAGAAGAGGAATTTATTTCCGAGTTTGTGCATCCGAATGGAATTATCAAGGAGGAATATGATGAGCCTTGGTATCTTGTAAATTCTACTCAGAGCTCCAGCCGAATTAATTGTTTAAGCAAAGGAGGAGCATTGTATAATAATTTGTCTAACAATTTTGAAAGCAAGTTAAAATTAATGAAATGTAAATTATTGAATATGGACGAGAATGTGGAGAAGATATTTTCTGGCTCCTGGCATTCGTTATTTATTACAAATAGAAATAGACTATTCTGTTTAGGAAAAAACACAGATCATCAACTAAATATCCAACATGATCCATTCATTGATTCAACACATCAAGTTCTAAGATTTGATTTTACTGAGCCAATCAAAGACGCTGCTTGTGGAAAACGAAGTACAATGATTCTTACAAAGACAGGAGAAGTATATGGAGTGGGATATAATTTATATGGATGTCTTGGCACACATGAGACAAATAGAGATTGTAGTCGCGTTCATATATTAACCAAAGCAAATATAGGCCAACCAGTTCGACACATTGCTTGTGGTAGCTATCACACAATAATGTTGACACGATCCAATGAGGTATTTTCTTGTGGTATGTTTGTGTAGTGTTCCCTGAAAGTTACTATTCTTTGAATTTATTGTTTCTTTACCTCATTGTTAATTTTTCATTAGGTGAAAATGTATATGGAGCATTGGGTTTGAACGATCAAGACAATCGACGAATTCCAACCAAAATTTCGTTCTTTGACTCTCTCTATAAGCTTGGAGATTATGTACAATATGCATCATGTGGAGAATTACACACTTTGTTTTTAACACGGCGAGGATTTGTGTATGCCTCTGGAAGGTATGTGATACAAACAATTTGGTGAGCACCAATAGAGTTGAAAAATAATCTTAAATCAAACGTATTCACTCACAACAGAAATTATTATGGCCAATTAGGCCTGGCTGATAATGAATCCAGACTTGTTCCAACCCTAGTCAAGCCAGAATATTTCTCAAACGAGAAAATTGTATCAATCGCTTGTGGTTGGAATCACTCCATATTTTTGACATCTGACAATAAGGCCTACGTATCGGGACGAAACAAGCATGGCATGTTAGGAACTGGAGATTTCACAGACAGAAACAAACCTACTCTTATCGAAATACCTCATGAAGAGATTACAGAAATTCATGCTGGACGAGCCAATAGCGTTTTTCAAACGAGTAAGGGCCAATTGTATTTTACTGGATCGAGTTATTTTGGTGAGAAACAACCTATGGATGTAAATGTTCCTACCAAAATTAATTTACCGCTTTCATTTGTGGAGTTTCCATCATTTTCATTCCATGTATTTTGCAGTGCTCAATGCAGATGTATTTATTTACTGAAAAAAGAGAGAAAACGATTATTGTGGTTCTTCCACAGGATGAAACGAAGATCCATCACTGATTTTTATTCAGATATTTCAGTTGTGACCTTGCAACCAAGGAAAACACCGTTACTCTAAGGAGTGGTTGTAGTTGTTTTTGATTGCTGCTTAATGGTATAGCTCTTTTCAAACTTTTTCATGAGATAATCGTATGCTGTCATGTCAATTGAGCTAATATAGCAATCCTTATTAGGCTGACCAAAATATGCAATACTATATCTATCACGGTCATAATTTGTAAGCACTACTTGATGAGGCACGCTCTTATATTCGCCACTAGTCCATTCCTGCATCAAATCTCCACAATTCACAATCATTGAATCTGGAACATAGGGAGCATTCATCATTTCATTGGTCACTCGATTCAATACTTGCAATCCTCCCACATCATCCTGAAATAGTAATGTAATTGATCCATAGTCACAATGCAAGCCTGCTCCATTTCTATCACTAGCTGACGATGAGAGGTTATTCTTGTCAATTTTTGGATAATGCAAATATCTTAATGAATGCTCCTTGTCACTATGCGTGGAAGAGAAATAATTGTTTTCCAATGGCTCTGTGGAACCTCTCGTTTTGTTTTGAATGGTCAAACTACTTTGTAAATCATCCAAAATTTCACACAACAAATCATGCAATGCATTAAACAGGTCCTTACTGAATTTTTCAAAACCTTCCAAGTTTAGAAATTGTGTCTCATCTGGAAAATAATTCACCTCTTCACCTTGATCATTGGGACTGTTTTGCAGTCTTACATTATATGCCTCCTTCAAATCAATATCAGTTCCATTAAGTCGTTCAGAGCTCTTTGAAATGTAGCCACTTCCACCTTTGAGAGTATGAAATTGATTTTTCACTTCAAAGGGAAGATCAAAAAACTTTTTAGAATATTCAAAAGCTTTCCGCATATCAGAAACTAATGGGTGATCGACCAAGTAGAAAAATCCAACGGAGGTGAGAGCTGATCGTATTTCATGCTTTCTCTCTTCCGTCGTGCTCTTATAGGAAATGATTGGAATTTGTCCACTGGCCGATTGCTGCTGTGACGGTATGGATTGGTTTGAGAGTATCATGGTCGTTGTGTGGCACAGAATGGTTGTTGTGGCTCTTTTTTTTGTTTGAGAAGGATTCCAATTTGCACTTCAATTAGCAACAACCAATTTCCGTTTCAAGAAGTGAGGTAGGGACTTGTGGCTAAAAAATCCCACGTGACCACACGACATAACTTGGGGCTGTCACTAAAAGTTTGAATTGACAACTGTCTCACATGTACTCATATTACTGTTGGCTACCCATTAACGCTTTCCTAAAAGTAGTTTGCAATTGATTCAATTTAACTTTAAACACTTTCTTGAACACTTCCCAAACTTGAGCACCTATCGCGGCATCCATCTTTTCAGAAAAATCTGACAATAAGGTCTGAATCGATGATGAATTGAATGTCTTGTGAATTTCTGTTTGGTAATGATTTGCCTCAGTAAAATCAGTTATACAACCAAATTTTGCAATTTGCACACCGAATACTACGGTTCGAAACGAGTGAAACAAAGCCTTCATACCCTTTTCAATATTAAGCTCTTTTGTCATTTTGTTTTTGGCCTTCACAAATGAATGATCTGCTTCGTAGGAAATACTTTTTCGAACTAATTGTTTCACTTCACTCTTTTCTTGTAAAGATATTAATGATGGAGTCTGAATCAATTCCATCTTGTTACTTTTCAACAAGACAAATGATGAAAGATGCTCACTCGTTAAAATGGAAACAAATTCCATTGCACACAATACAAACTCATTCACCAACTTGTTGAATAATGTTTCAGAATAAATTGTAAAATCCACGTTTTTGCTTCTTGTGTTTTCAAATGAAATACTTGTACTGAATTGGTAAGTGTAATCTCTCTTTCCAATAGCTCTTTGTTTTTCTTCAATTTGCTCCCCGAGATCATTGGAAACAACCACGAATAAATCCAAATCAGAATCATCTCGAACCAATCCATAAACATGAGATCCAAATATTCCCACACACCAAATTTCATGAATAATATCACCATTCATTAGAACTCTCCGGAGAGAAGGATTAGAATTTTCCGAAGGCTTCTCGCTCACTCTTCCTTCCTCTGTGTGGTTGCATTGAGTAGCATCCATTACTACGTTTAATTGAACTATTTTCAATAATTCCGATTCAAGAATTTTCATAATTTCAGAAGAGGGAGGGATGAGCGAGGATGTGTCGTTCTCATTCCTCAAGTTTATGGTACTTGATTCATGGGTGAGAAAGCTTTTATCCAGGACAGTATAATAATCCTCATGGGCGTGATGAGAGTTGAACATTTTTTAAAGTTTGTTTTTGAAATTGCATTATTCAACAACACATTCATTCCAATAACAATTGTTTATTCAAAATGAAATGTCACTTGAATTACATGACGATTAAGTAGACGATCCTTGCACTCGCAAACATGATCATACATTCAAGAGTACAAATATACTTCCTCAAGACAAGGATAGGTCTTGGTAATGGTTGCTTTAATACTCTAAGCTCCGATACATGGCTCATCAACGAATCATTAATTTTGGAGAGTTTGGAGGCTAATTCCTTGTACTCATCTACCCTCTTCCTTTTTCCAAGAGAATCAAGAGCCAGACCGTCTAAACGTGCATCAGTTTCATCTCCGTCCAAGTCTTTCATTTCTTCCTTACCCTCAATAATGGGTACTAAAGAGTTATCTACTCCTTTGAAAGACCCTTCTTCATTGTTTGTTGGCTCAATGATAGCTCTTTGCTTGAAAAAGTGAATGAGTTTCTTTTCCAAACTGGCCGCTAGTGAATCAGCCTAAACGGATCCTTTGGTTAACCGCAAACTTCTCCTTTCCAACCTGATCTACCACCTTTTTGATTGTATTATTCTTGTTGGTAAATATAATACCAAACCAAGCTATGTCCTTGATGAATTCCTTATCAAGCTTGTGTATGGTGTTATGAAACTCAATCTCTCTCGTACTATGAGTGACCAAAACTGTCTCAGCTTTAAATTTTGTAACAATAATACCTACCAAACTGTGCATTCGTTTGAACCATGAAAAACATGACTCAAAAAGGCAAATTGACACGTCGTAGCCTGGATATGGATCACAATATGGGTCAACGTTAGGATTGACTTGGAAGTGACTTCTAGTTGCTTGGTGTGTTTGAATTTGCAATAACAAGCCACGCAATAGTAATTCATTGGATTTGTTCGATTTTTATTTGATGATATTCCAGCCACAATAACACACTCCACGTATTTAAGGCTTTTAACAAGCTATATTGTAGTAATTAAGCGGCAAGTGCTTTGTTGTTTGTCAAGGAATGTAATGAATTGAGGCGGCAAAATGAATGTAAGGCTTGTTTCAACCACACTGGTAAAGGTTGCTAATTGATACATGTATGAGAAAATCAGTTATTTCTTTTTTGATGGTAGAAGGAGCCACGGAGGAGTTTTAAAAGGAATCTTTTGAGATATTGATCTTCTTGTTGATGTGTCCAACAGAGTGGTCGAAGAGGTTCTTGTGGCGGCCATTGTTGTGTTAGGTGGTGTTGTGTAGGAAGATGCAACTGTTGTTGAAGCGGTCACAACAGATGAGCCTGTAGTGATTGTGGACGCAAGGAAGGATGATCCAGAGCTCGAGGACACATTCCCTTTTCGTCTTGGAGTGGAACTTAAGTGTGTGGTGGTGCCATTTTGATGTTGAATATTGAACACAATACAAACTCATTCACCAACTTGTTGAATAATGTTTCAGAATAAATCAGAATCATGTCGAGCAAATCCATAAACATGAGATATAAATATTCCCAAATTTCATGAATAATACCACCATTCATTAGAACTTTCCGGAGAGAAGGATTAGAATTTTCCGAAGGCTTCTCGCTCACTCTTCCTTCCTCTGTGTGGTTGCATTGAGTAGCATCCATTACTACGTTTAATTGAACTATTTTCAATAATTCCGATCCAAGAATTTTCATAATTTCAGAAGAGGGAGGGATGAGCGAAGGAGTGTTCTCATCCCTCAAGTTTATGGTACGAATTCTCATGGGCGTGATGAGTGTTGAACATTTTTTAAATTTGTTTTTGAAATTGAAATT